AAAGAAAGAAAGAAAGAAAGAAAGAAAGAAAGAAAGAAAGAAAGAAACCCTAGAAAATACAGAATAGAAATGGCTACAGCCACTTAAACAATGCTGACATAGGCTCCTTCTCCCCTAGCTGCACAGTTTTCCCTCCCTCCCTCCCTCCCTCCTTCCCTTCCTCCCTCGGGCTTTGGCTTCTTTTTCTTAGCATTTCACTCTTACCTTACCTGTCAGGCAAGATGGCTGTCAGCAGCGGATTCGGAACACTGAATTTAGCACCCTTTTCTCCACAGAGGGAGTGATTTCTTTCCAAAGTTGACCAAAGTAGTCCCCAAAAAGTTGGTTCTAGTCTTAAAAGTCGACTTAATGTCTTCAATATGAATTTTACATTTGTAAAAGATTTGGGAATTTAAATAATACGTGTTGGAATTTAAATATATGCAAGTGCCAAGCCAGATATCAGGCAGATGCCCAACAGGTGATAGCTTTAAAGACAAAGTTGGAGGTGCTGTCTAAGGTGCTCATGGGAGGCTGAGGAAGAAATGGCCAGCAGTCAAGCAGATACAGAGGTCTGGGATGTGGGAATAGTGTTGAGGAGAGGTTATGCATATAATTATGCAAGTTTATTGCTTATTTTAAGGCCTCTTCAAGCCAAGGAAAACCCTGCTCTTTGAAGTTACAAGCACAGATTGAGGACTGAGAAGGGATCTGGGCCTGGCTGTGCCCTGGGGTTGGAACATTCTCTCTCCTGGGGCTGTGGTGCCAAATCAGGGCTGTGTTTTTCTCCTGTTCTCTCTGGAATCTCTTGCCTAAGGCTTGGGCTGTTCTTTTCCTCATCACTATTTTTATCTATTCGGTGCTGTGGGTTTTTTTTTTTTTCTAAACTCTCACTTCATTTATTTCAGAGCAGTGCTTTAAAAGAATGGGTTTATGACGGGATTGTTTTCAAGTGGGATGAAAGGTCAAAAGGGTTACCAGTATAGAAAGCAATGAGGCAGCTTGGAACAGTTCCTTACAGGGCCAGTTTGAAGATCTACCTGCAGGGCAGATGGCCGTGATTTGACGATTTGTAACCTCTTTCTTATCTTTGGGGAAGGTCAAGGACAGAATAGACATATGGACACATGAACATGGAGTCATGTTTAGGGCATCAGCCCTTGATTCTGAGGCATGATCTGTGACTTTGCGCGGCTTCAGTTTGGTGTTATACTTAGTAAGTGGTATATATTAACACCTGCCACTCAGGAGGATGTGTGATCAGGTGATGGGAGGAGAGATGCATCTCTTAACAGGAGAGATGAGGGCAGGGTGTTTAGTTACAGAATGGATTTATTCTTTCTATTTATTTATTTGTTTATTTATTTATGCTATGGATCAGACTCATGGCCTTGCACAGACCAAGCAGCTACTCTATTTCTTAATTACAGCCCTAGCTCTCACCTTTATTATATTGTTTAAAAAAAAAAATCATCAGATATTCAAACATTTCAAAGATCATCTCCTGGTTCTTTTAAGTAAGGAGTTCATTTGGATTGGCTGTTTTTTTTTTTTTTCCTAGCATACAGAAAATGAAAAAAAAAAAAAGGCTCCATTACTTGTCATACATTTGGAAGAGAAATCCAGCAGCGTCTGGTTCCATTGAGACCTTCATGGTCAAGTGAAGGATCATGGAGGGAGTGGGCAGGGCTCTCAGTGAGCATATAGCAACCAGGAAATACTTTTACCAGAAATATCTTCTAGGACAGTCTACAGGAGGCTACCTATGAGACACCATCCGTACCCTACTTCCCTGAGCAGGAGCAACAGACGGAGACCCTTCAGCTACAGATGATCGCCTGTGTGAGGAATAAACTGACTGGGGTCCTGCCCAGTTGTAAGGTTCATGATTTGAAAAACAGGTTTGGAAACCTCCAGTTTAAGCAAGTATGGGCCACAGCTCAGGACAAGAGCCTCCTGAAGACGGCTCTGCTGCAGCAGAAGCACCAAGTGCCAGCACCCTTTGAGAGAACTGAGAATGTTGGGGAAAGTGGCAGATGCCTTGAAGGCGTGACAGTCTACACTCCAGGATCAAGGCCTCTTTAGAAAAAGACACTTGCTTGTTGCTGTAATCTCACTAGTGAGGCGAATACCAACCTACTTGCTGGTGACAGCCTCCATCTGATCCACATGTCTGTTGTCTCCCTATCCTTGGAGGAAAGGATGCATCAGAAAAGAGCTTGAGAGCTTGAGAGGAACCACCTTGAATTCCTCAGCGTGCTGGCATCCACCAGCAAGAGGTCCCGCCCGGTGAGGGATGCAGCATGGATGAGGACACACTGGTAAACAAGAGTTACTGTCGTTTTATTGTCAAAGGCAAGCCGATCAAAGCATCAGCCCTCCATATGCGGTGGGAAATCCAACAAGGAGGACTACTGATGCCCTATCACCATCCGTACAGACTCCACCCAAAATGGCAAGATTCCCTCTCAGCTGCAGCTCTGCACTTGTGCCACGCATAAGTGTTGCCGAATTTAATGCAGCACAGCAGGACAATATTGCTAACTTAATTCTTTTCTGGTTTTTATCTTGTTTTCTTTGTTTATTTGTTCATCATGTTTTTCTTGGTTTTCTTCGTATTGGTGTAAGGTTTTGTTAAATTTTTTCTTATTTCTTTTATACTTGTCACTGTTTTAACACTTACTAAAGGCTGTGTACTGTATATGCTGACTTCCCTTTTAAGCCCCTTTTAATTAAATGGGTGTATTTTTATGAACAAAAAAAGCTATTTCCAACTCTTAAAAAAGTCTCTTCCTAATAACATCTAGATCCTTGTTTGATTGAATAACCAGGGCTGGAAGTCTTAGGGAGACGTCTCTGACATTCTTCCTGCCATGCTGGGTCCAGGTAGATTCCCTAGAATGTTTTAACACAGTCCATTGATGTAGAGTTCTCACAGTTCTTTCAGAAGTGAAGAAAATTGTGAGGAGTGTGTGTGTGTGTGTGTGTGTGTGTGTGTGTGTAAGAGAGAGAGAGAGAGAGAGAGAGAGAGAGAGAGAGAGAGAGAGAGATTTAATTTGGCAGGATCAGCACCAGAATGAACCCTCACCTGTAGAAGCCAGAGACTTAGCTAGGAACCACTGGAAAAATTTGTTGCTTCTTATGTATGTGCGGGATGTGTTATGAGCTAAGTTGTTTTCCTCCCACATTCATGTGCTGATGTTCTTGCTCTCAGTATCTTAGCGTATGGCTCTATTTGGAGACAAAGCTTTTAGAGACATAGATAGGTTGAAAAAAGTTTGGAAGGGTTATCAGTGTGTTTCTAGGCCAGCTTGTGGCTTTATAAATGGATGAAATCAAAACAGAGCTGTTTAGAGGCAGGTAGAAGATGTCGTAACCCAAGAAAGAGGGCTTTAGGAGAAAGCAGCTGCCCTATGCTCCTTCCTGGACTTCCTCCTTCTAGAACTGGATAGAAAGAAACACCACGCCAGGATGTCAGCGGTTCCCCTGTCTCCCCAGGAAGCACAGAGAGCTTTCTGATGGCGCTGTGGAGGCTCTGTTTCTGCACTTAGCAACTCAACTCGTTTTTTAGCTAAGAAGGGAGATTTCACAATAACTCTTTTGGAAAGGATCGAAGTTCACCTCAGGAAATCTCAAAGACAAGTTATTCATTTACTTGCTATTTTTAACCCCACTTCACGACAGAGACCAATGTTTTCCCTGTGCTTGAGTGAGACTATAGAAACAGAGAGCAAGAGAAACACGCTTCTCCCAACACTGCCTCCCTCTACCCAGTCCGGCTCTCCAGGGCTTGCCCGGGCTCCAGGCGTGGAACTCAGAGAATGTCTCCGACACATCTGCTACTCTTTGTTGGCCTGTGTATCCAGTTTCCTGAAGTCAGATGGTTTGTGTTACGATACTGAAATTTTCATGTCCAGTAAATATTTGTATACACATCCCTGCAAAATTCGAACTAAACAATGATTTTTCAGCTTCCTGTAGATTAAGCTCATTTTGAAATTGAACCCGCTGGAGGAACAGGAAGAGCACCAGGACAAAACTCTGAGGCTCAGTTTGAGTTTGCCTTCCTTAGGGTTTGCTTGAGCAAAGCCGAGCAAGAAGGACAGGGTTGCCTACACCAACCCATGGCGTCTTTCCTCGGGTCCAATTTGCATCAGCTTTATTCCAAATGTGGGGATATCTGTGAGCTCAACTTTATTAGTTTTTCTGGCTACTGTGGCAAAATGAAAAGTAAGTTAATTGTGTAACTTTTCATGCTCAAAATAGTTTACCCATAGAACTCAAATTATAATTAAAAAAATGTAAAATTTCTTTTGCTCTTTAAAAAGTTATGGATGTTTTACCTGCATGTATGCCTGTGCATTATACGGATGGCTGGTGCATGAGGAGGCCAGAAAGAAGAGTCAGATCCTCTGTGACTGGAGTTACGGATGGTTGTGAGCCACCAGGTGGTGCTGGTAATTGAACCCAGGACCTCTAGGAGAGCATTCAGTGCTGGTAACTACTGAACTATCTCTCCAGACCCTGTAAAATTTCTTAGATGATAGTCACTTAAATTTGGGAGCTCATGCCGGGTGTGGTGACCCATGCCTGTAATCCCAGCACTCTGGGAGGCAGAGGCAGGTGGATCTCTGTGAGTTTGAGGCCAGCCTGGTCTACAAAGCTAGCCCAGGACAGCCAAAGCTACACAGAGAAATCCTGTCTCAGAAAAAAAAAAAAAAAAGGGAGCTCTCAACAGACTCAAGTGTATAATTTGTTGAGGATTATCTTTCAAAAATCATTATTACAAATCATCTTGTGTGTGTTTGTGTGTGTGGTCACCTTTATTTTTTATTTGTTTTTGATTTTTTAAATTAATGACTTTTTTTTTTAGTAATTATAACTTATTCATTTTGCATCTCAGCTGTAGTACCCTCCCTCATTCTCTCTCAATCCCACCCTTCCTCCCTCTTCTCCTCCCTCCCCCAGTCCCCTGCCAGGGGAGGTGCTCCTCCACTTTCATGTGACCCTAGCCTATCAGGTTTCATCAGGACTGGCTATACTGTCTTCTTCTGTGGCCTGGTAAGGCTGCCCCTCAGGGGAAGGTGATCAAAGAGCTAGCCACTGAGTTCATGCCAGAGATAGCCCCTTTCCCCCTTACTAGGACACCCACTTGGACACTGAGCTGCCATGGGCTACATCTGTGCAGGGGTTCTAGGTTATCTCCATGCATGGTCCTTGGTTGGAAAAGATCCCTAGGCCTAGATTTTTTGGTTCTGTGGCTCTCCTTGTGGAGTTCTTGTCCCCTCCAGGTCTTTCTATCTATCTCCCCTTTCTTTCATAAGATTCCATGCACTCTGCCCAAAGTTTGGCTATGAGTCTCAGCATCTGCTTTATTACCTTGCTGAATAGAATCTTCCAGAGGCCCTCTGTGGTAGGCTCCTGTTCTGTTTCTTATTTTTACCTTCTTCCAATGTCTATCCCATTTGCCTTTCTGAATAAAGATTGAGCATCTTACCTAGTGTCCTCCTTCTTGTTTAGTTTCTTTAGGTGTACAGATTTTTGTATGATTATCCTATATTATGTCTGATATCCACTTATAAGTGAGTATATACTATGTGTGTCTTTCTGTTTCTGGGATACCTCACTCAGGATGATCTTTTCTGTTTCCCACCATTTGCCTGCAAATTTCATGATTTCCCTGTTTTTAATTGCTGAGTAGTACTCCATTGTGTAAATTTACCACACTTTCTGTAATCCATCTCTCAGTTGAGGGTTATTTCCAGATTCTGGCTATTACGAATAAAGCTGCTAAGAACATAGTTGAGCAAATGTCCTCGTTGTATATTTGAGCATCTTTTGGATACATGCCTAGGAGTGGTATAGATGGATCTTGAGGTAGCACTATTTCTAATTTACTGACAAAGTGCCAGAGTGATTTCCAAAGTGGTTGTACAAGTTTACATTCCCACCAGCAGTGGAGGAGAGTTCTCCTTTTCCACATCCTCTCCAGCATGTGTTGTCACTGGAGTTTTTGATCTTGGCCATTCTGATGGGTGTAAGGTGAAATCTCAGGGTTGTTTTGATTTGCATTTCCCTGATGGCTAAGGACATTGAGCATTTCTTTAAGTGTTTCTCTGCCACTTGATATTCCTCTATTGAGAATTTTCTGTTTAGCTCTTTACCCCATTTTTTAATTGGATTAATGGATTTGTTGCTTTTTAACTTCTTGAATTCTTTATATATTCTGGATATTAGCCCTTTGTCAGATATAGGGTTGGTGAAGATCCTTTCCCAGTCTGTAGGCTCTCATTTCGTTCTGACCACAGTGTCCTTTGCTTTACAGAAAATTTTCAGTTTCATGAGGTTCCATTTATTGATTGTTGATCTTAGAGCCTGTGCTGTTGGTGTTCTGTTCAGGAAGTTGTCTCCTGTGCCAATGAGTTCAAGGCTCTTCTCCACTTTTTTTTTCTAACAGATTTAGTGAGTCTGGTTTTATGTTAAGGTCTTTGATCCACTTAGACTTTAGTGTAGTGAAGGGTAATAAAAGGATCCATTTGTATTTTTCTACATGTGGACATCCAGTTAGACCAGCACCATTTGTTGAAGATGCTGTCTTGTTTCCATTATATGGTTTTGGCTTCTTTGTCAAAAAGCAAGTGTCTGTAGATGTGTGGGTTTATTTCTGAGTCCTCAGTTTGATTCCATTTATCCACCTGTCTGTTTCTATGGCAGGACTATCTAGTTTTTATTACTGTTGCTCTATAGTACAGGTTGAGTACAGGGATAGAGATAGCTCTGGAAGATCTTTTATTGTACAGGATTGTTTTAGCTATTCTGTTTTTTGTTTTGTTTTTCTGTATGAAGTTGGGAATTGTTCTTTCAGTGTCTATAAAGAATTGTGTTGGTATTTTGATGGAAATTGCATTGAATCTGTAGATTGCTTTTGGCAGAATGGCCATTATTACTATGTTAATCCTAGTGGTAATTAAAGATGAATTCCAAGAGCAAGGCATGAGCGAGAACTAGTTCATTACTGAAGCAACAGGACTGAAAGCAGGAAGAGAGACCCCTCTGTACTTTCAAGCACTGCTGAAAACCACAGTCAGCAGGGTCCCAGAATACAGGTTCTGTTTTACTATCAGCTCTGATCTGTCATGTTTGGTCAGAGCTTTCAAAGACCCTACAGAAACAGAAGGCGGCACCCCATTTGCTTGGGAGGTATGGTGATCTGAATGAAAATGGCCCCCACAGGCTCATAGGAGGTGGCACTATTTGAAAGGATTGGGAGATGTGACCTTGTTGGAGGAAGTGTGTCACTGGGGATGGCCTTTGAAGTTTCAGATGCTCAAGCCAGGTTCAGTGTCACTCTCTTCTTGCCGCCTGAGGACCTGAATATCAAACTCTCAGTTACTTCTTCATCACTATGTCTGCCCGCATGCCGACATGCTTCCCGTCATGGTGACAATGGAGTAAACCTTTGAATTGTAAGCCAGCCTCAATTAAACGTTTCCTTATAAGAGTTGTCGTGGTCATGGTGTCTCTTCACAGCAATAGAAACCCTAACTTTGACTGAGCCAGGAGAGGGAGGGGGCTTGGGGGAGGCTCTGAAGGATATAACTATAAGGAGCTAATTAAAACAAATAGCAGAATAAAGGTGTGATAACATGAGCAATTTGCTAACTGGCGAGAGGTAGAAGAGAGAGCCAGAGATGTCTCCATTAAGATGGTTGAAGATATTTCATAGGAGAGTGCTATTCATAATATCTTTGAAAACTGAGTAAATTCTATCTATCTATCTATCTATCTATCTATCTATCTATCTATCTATCTAAAATGAATAAATTGTAAAAAAAATGAAAAAAATTAAAAAAGAATGAAGATATGGTAAATTAGCAACAGTAAAAACAATTAAAGCTAGAATTTGAATGTACTAAGCACTGTAAGCTCTTAATGTATTCTGTCTTAGACCCAGAAGGGCTTTCAGGAAGTATAGATATTTTTCCCTCAATTTTAAAGGGGGAAGAAACAGAGGCAAACATGATCTGGCCAATATCACGCATGTCCATTTGCATTCCTTTGCTCTGGGTTACGCCTGTGTCCCTTCTAAGAAGGAATGACACGAACAAGAGCTTCGCCAGCAACTGTGCAGAAAACGCAAGGGTTTATGCGGCATTAGTCTAAGATGTGTGGGGCCATGAAATGGGGAAAAGAGCCAAAATGTGAGGTGGGATGGGTACGTTTTGAGTCCTTGAGTTTAATCCCCAGCACGAGGGAGGAGGCAGTGGAGGAGGAGGAGAAAGAGAAAGAGAAGACAGAAGAAGAACCTTGAACGTCACTCTGAGAGATCTTTGAATTCTTCCCCCACCCCCGCAAGCGGTAAGGAGACACTATGAGTTTTTGCTCAGGGAGTAAGGTCATTGAACTCCTGGTGGGCAAAATGGCTCAGGAGGCAGCAGGATTTGTTATGAAACTGGATGACCAGTTTTGTCCCCAAAACCCATGTAGAAGGAGAGAACTGATTCTTGACAGTGGTCCTCTGGGCTCCACATGGGTGCTCTGACAAGTCCTCTTCTCCCTGCAGTGAATAAATGAAAAAAAAATAAGTTTGTTGGAAGGTTAGCATACAAAATAATAAGGGTTCCATTTGCATTTTTTTGTACATACATGTCATTACACATTATTCTAATTTACCCATTGTTCTTTAGGTGTAAAATGAAAGCTGTAGTGTCCTTGTCATAATGTTTATTGATGATTGTACTATGTGTTTAATATCTCTGGGCAGAGTAGTCACAGAAACTTGGCAGTGATATTTTTAAAATGACCTCCCTATTGCTAGGGATCAGACATACTTAGGTAAGAGAGCTCCGGCTGATAGGGTAAACAGCTTTTCAGTGTAATAGC